CTTGTCTCATGGAATACTTGTTTCATGGAAGACTTTCTCTCCTTGTCTAATGGAGACCTTGTTTCATGGAGGAATCCCAGGTAGAAGTTGTGTAATTAATGTCAGGCAACACTTGTATAAATGTATCATGAGAAATAGAAAGTAATAACAAGAAAGAAAACCAGAAAACATCTTTGTGCTGTTCTCATTCTCGACATTTCTCACTTGTTCTGTCGAAACCAGAAACCTTCCTTATGATACCTTTGTGATACTTTCCTGATACTATTTTGACATTTTTTAGGGTGGGGCATGTGCCAGATATATCCCTAAAACCCCACACAAATCTCTCCAACTCCTCATCTTCTCCGCCTTCTTCTTTGCTCTTCGGAAAATCCAATCTTCTAAACAATGTTTTGATACAGTGATGTTGAATATGTGTTGTAGGGTGCATAACGATAACCATAATGATACATAATCCTCATAGACAGCCTGAAATATGCAACAAGCATGATACACAATGATGCCATGATACAAAAGAGTTTCTCAGTGAATATTATCCTGCTTTTAGTGCATACAGATCATACAGCTTCAACGCATCCTCAATGGAATCAAATTCAAGTCCTAGTTTTGGTTTGAACTCCACACTAACTTCATGTTTCACCTTTGCTTCAGACTCCATTTCACAATTCTTGCAATTTAACCTTGAAAATCATATCATCATCATAATAATATTGCCACATGCGTTTAAAGAGAATTCAAATGTATATTAACCACAATACTATAAACACAGAAATATCCAAATTTCAACAAATATCAAATAGACTATCAAACATTAGTAAATAATGAAGTCTAAAACGAAATAAGCTATGAACCATTAGTGAATACAAGTGCTATATCTACGAAGCCTTTTGGAGTTTCTAGTGAAATATTAAACAACCGACATCCAAAATAACGTAAATTATGCAAATATATTTGGTAAAAACAATTCCTCCAGGATACTGAAATTAACAATTACAGGATATTAATTACCTCATAAGTGATTTTGATCTTCAAATTTTCCACAAATATCAAATAGACTTTGCAACATTATTAAATAATGGAGTCTGCAACAAAATAATCTATGAACCCATTAGTGAATATAAATGCTACACCTACGAGGTCGTTTGGAGTCTTTAGTGAAACCTTAAACAACCTATATCTAAACTAGCGTAAATTATGACAATATACTTGGTCAAAACATTTTTTCAAGTATATTGAAATTAACAAACACAGGATATCGCTTACCTTGTAACTGATTTTGAGTTTTGAAATTTCAACAAATATAATAATGTCGTCCATTTAGAGCGGAACATCTACCCCAAAAAATTCAACCTTCCTCTCCTCAACGATTCAAACTCAACTCTAGTTTCCCGTTTGCTCCAACACTTTAAACCGACAACTCTAGAACCAGAGGGTCTCAAATCCTCAAGTATTCGAAGTCAACGCCAGTTTCGACTGTGCTCAACGATTCTAACAAGGTGTCACGCTCACTAGTTTTTTGGTAACTAGATGGGTCCTCAAGGCTTCACAAGAGTGCAGAACACAATCATCAAACCAGAAAAATAAAAACAGAAATAAGAAATACAGTGCTACATGTGCTCTTCAAGATAATACCTTGCTTTGTATGCTTTGAATGACCAAACCAGAAAAATGAACAGCTGTTTTGGAGGGGTAGATGTGTTCACTGTTTTTCCAGAAATAGAATATCAAACCAGAAAAAAGAAGAAAACCATGTTCTTTGACAGAGTGACGAAGAGAGACACAAACAGACAAAGAGAACAAACTTTTTTTGGAGGGAGATATTGTGGTCTTCAAGAGCACAATACATCTGTTTTGGAGGGAGGAGGGCGCGTTCTAGTGGAACAGTTTTAGACATGTTCAGTTACAATTGCTTTTGAGCAGCCGTTAGATTTGATCCAACGGTGTTCTCAAGAAGAAGTTTGCAAAAAGAAGTTCCCACCAGAGAATAGCCCATATTTTTTTGGGCATGGTGAAGTGCTGATGTTACCTTCTGAATCCCTCTTCTGGTGTTTGCTGCAATTTGGAGGCCAAAATTGCAGGCCCAAGTGAAATATTATGCAGAATATTTCCCACTAATGATGATCTCTCTGCACCTCTACCCTCATAAGCATGATGCCTTAAATAATTCTTGCGAACATATGCCTTGACATAATTCTTGCAGAAATGCTGGTTGTGGTCTAAATCAGTGAGTGTGAAATGCTGTTTATCCTTCCAATCTTGCGAACATATGCCTTGACATAATTCTTGGACCTGTGCTTTCTCTGTGTCGAAACTTTTGGTTTAGAAGATGAAGCTCTTCAACTAGCAAATGATCTCTGTTGATTCTCTTTTGTCCGATTGCTTGTGGTGTAAAAGTAAAAATAGTATACTGTGATTTTTTATTATTAAAAAAATAGTATAGCCGCGCGGCTATACTTGGATTCTTCTATATATATAAAGCAAAAGACATAGAATGGTGAAACATTCAAAATATCTGAAAATGCCCCTGGTTAATGCAAACATTAAGAATTGAAATTATTAATTAAATGAGGATAATATGTTAAATTCACACTTTTTCATATAAAAAAATTAAAAATTAAAAGAAAAATCAAATAATGGATCCTCCTTTTAAGGAACACAACTACCCATATATTTTTTTAATTCTTAAATAAATTTATATATATATATATATATATATATATATAAAAAAGCCTCTTGCAGACGCGGAAGCGCATGCGGAGAGGCAAGTTTTATATAATAAAAATAGTATAGCCGCACGACTGTTCCAATGTTTTTATTTTTAAAAAATTGTATAGCCGCTCGGCGATACTATTTTTGACATGTAGCGAAATGAGGGCTGCCAGGCTGGTTCCATTTTAAAAAAAAACTTATAGCCGAGCGGCTATACTTGGATTTTTTAATAATAAAAATCGTATAGCCGACCGGCTGTACGCGGATTTTATAATAATAAAAAATAGTATTATTAAAGAATTGTATAGCCGGCCGGCTCTACTCTAATTTTTTTATAATAAAAATTGTATCGCCGAGCGGCTATACTACGAGTTTTATTATTAAAAAATCCTATAGCCGGCGGCTATACTGTTTTTGACAAGTGGCGAAACAGAGCCTGTGGGTCCTCCTTTTATAAAAAATAGTATAGCCGCCCGGCTATACTCCCATTTTTATATATTTAAAATAGGATAGCCGTTCGGCTATACTATTTTTGACATGTAGCGAACCCGCTGGCTGGTTCCCTTTTTTAAACAATAGTATAGCCGATCGGCTATACTCGGATTTTTTAATAATAGAAATAGTATAGCCGAGCGGGTATGCTACGGTTTTT